CTAGATGCGGGAATTACCGATGTTGTCAAAGGCTAATAGCTAAAGAAATAATTTTATTTGTAAATGCCCCCAGCTGACAAGCTGTTAATGGCAACCCAGGAGAGCTTGCCAGCTTGCATTTTTGAAGATGCAAGGAAATAACATTATTGCCCAGTATTTGTTTTACAGCACTGTCTAATGAGAGTGCACTTCTTGCTATTTTGTACAGTGTCCAGACCAAAATATTAACAGTGCCTGTCTTGGAGTGTTACTCTGCTTTGGTACACTTTTTCAGGTGGCATATATTTATTATACTCTATATACACAGAAAACTCTGCTCTTTGATTAGGTTATTAAATTGATTCATGTTCAAAGGCAAAACAAAATATTCATTTGCAAGTGAAGATAAAAAATGAAAAACAATAGAGCCTCACAGAATGGGATGGATTTGAGGAATTGTGAAATCAGGGCTCAAAAGGAAACGTTGCATCCTAAATATTTTATTACTAATCATAATTGCTTTATGTATAGCATAACTGGGCTAGTGATATTTGTTATTTTGATTTAAGAACACATTTAATTTCCCAATTGTCTCCTGCCAAACATTGTTTTCAGTGCAATCAACATGAGAATAACATGAACGTATCTAAAATAATATAATCCCTCTCATTAAGTGCCATAAAAAGTTTATTAACTGTTTCAGCCACTGTGTGCATGTAAATTCATCTGACTGTCACAGATTGTAGATACATCACAGGATAGGTAAGGAAACTGAGTTGTCCTGTTTCCAAATTCCTTAGTGAACATTTCTTCTCTAAAACTGGAGAAATCTTCTGTGACGCACCTTCTGAGATGGTACCATGATCCAACTACAGAATATACAGTTATGAATTACTGGCCATTCTTGACCATTTTGAATATTGAAATATACCTCATAAACATACATGTGACCAATTTTCTTCAATTAGTGTAAGATGGTGTCAACACCAACTCTTCTGCACAGATTGCAAGAATTAGATCTTCCTTTATATTCATTGTAGGTAAATAGAGCCATGATACCCTGCAAATAAAGTATTATGGTGGCAAATCTATCAGCTGAATCCTTGGCTCACAGGCATAACTATATTCCAACAATAAGATGAGCTGGACTTATTTCTATTCAAAAGTTACAAACAAAAAAGTGATGCTAAAGAAAGTAGATATTGGAAATGGGGTTTGGTTTTGTACAACTTTTTCAAGTTGAGTATTGCACCATTAAAATAATCCAAATAACCCTAATTCAAATCATACTCATATTTTTGAGACCAAAAACCTTAACATGACTAAGTCTTATCCAGTACAAATTTTATATTAAAAGCCAATCTGAGAAAACTATACTCGATGATACTAGACTAGATTGTGATTCCTGTATTCACATGGAATATCCATTTCTTCTTCAATGAAAATTCATTGGATTCACTCCATTACTTGAAGAGCGAGGTACTTCTTAACACACTAACAGCTCATGTGAGTGACACTGTGAACATCCTGACCCACCTGAAGATGAAACAGTCCAGATTTGCTGTTCCAGAGGAACTCCACTGTTCACACGTTCTGCCACCACTAAATGTGCTATTACCACATAAACACACAAACCAGACCTTAACAACACCCAGTTGATCAAGAAAAAACGTGTCAGTGACTGTAGTGACAGTTTGGTGTTTTTTTCCTAAGAAATTACCTGGCCTCATCTTATGCCAGATGGTTCATATTTTTATGTAACACCTAAGAGGTCTTGAAATACCACATTATCCTCCAAAATACAAATTCTCTGCAATACATCTATTATTAAAGACTTTAGCAAATGTCTTGATTTCAAAATAAATGAAGTGAAGCCTGAGTCTACATCCCAGTTCTAGTCCAAGACGCCAACTCAAGTGAACGTTTTGAATGTGAATATTTTTTCAATATGCACCTTCTAAAATGTGAAGATCAATTTTGCAAATACGAATATAGTTGCCTCGAAAACTGATTAAGTAGTCCTAATTTGATGTTACAATAATTCAGCAACTTTAAAAAGAAACTTACTAAATATTTCCAGCTGTGGAAAATCCTTATGAACTGTAAATCTAAATCTCCCTAACAAATTTGCCACAAATATCATATGTCATTTGAAGAAGTTAGACGTAACAACTTTTTATTTAATCATGAAAAATTTATGGCAAGATTAACTAGAAAGAGCCCACTCCTACTCCATAGCCATTAAAATGCAGTAAGTCACCTACTCAATAATGCAGAATTGTTGTGTATTAAAAATTTAAATCTATAAATATTAATAGAACAAAGGTCAGTCTCTTAACCAACAGAGGTAGTTGTACACATAGCTATCATTGTTAGCCTTAAGGGTTGCACATTCTTTAGGTATAGAGCAAAACAGATACGATAAAAGGCAGTTGTCTGATAGATTTTGATCCTTTTTTCAGATGAAGGATAAGAAAACCTATATTAATCCTGGGGATTGTGGTTATCCTTTGGGAAAGTAATATTTCTATTTCAATCTAACGAGCCAAGGTGTTGCAGTCAGCTTTACAAGTGCATGGCATAAAGTTGTGTATGTATGTATGTAACGGCAGCCAAAGTCACCTTCTGCAGCCTTGCTTCTTTACACTACTTCGACTGTATCAAAAGGTCAGAAACATGATACTGTTTTCCAAGGGAAACATGATACTGCTTTTCAAAGGACTGAAAAGGCCTGGCCAGTGTATGCCAAATATACCCAATACCAACAGAGAGGTGATTGCTATGCAAGCGATGAGAAGGAAACTCCTGGGTTATCACAGTCCAGGTATTCATGTTCCCAGGAATGTGAAAGCTGGGCAGGTTGTGAGAGGGCTTTCAGTGATGCCCATCAGCATAAATCAAATGTGAAGTACTGGAAAGCTACAGCTATCCTCTCAGCAGTGATTCCTCTTAGGTGTGTCAGCAGTTTCTGGATGCAGGGAGCATCAGCTTTATTTCTGGCTAGAAAATACAGACTCTTCACTGTAGTAGACTTACATGGCCCTTTACAGCCTGAACCAAATTCACACCCCTTGAGCACTCCCCTGTTCAGTCAGGGTGGCTAGTTAGCTACATCCATGAGTGGTGGCCTCTGTGAAAGACATTCACGTGACTTGAGTGAGAGCAGAGAGGAGCTTGGACAGTGTGCATACCACAGGTCTGCCAGGGCTGTGTCTAGAGAAATGTTTCCTTCTTCACTTGCTGCTCTCCTGTCACCTGCTCTGGGAAAACTCTGGAACATGGCCATGCTGTCACACAGCGTTATTATGTTTGCCACACTGATGGCAGATTAACCATGGCTTACAAACATTGTGCAGTACTGGAAATGCAGGCAGAAACAAATGTCTGCTGCATGCAGCCGAAGGGTGAGTAGTGGCTACCTGGTTATTCTCTAAAGCTCCCTGGGACAGGTCTGCTGCCAAACAGTGCAGAGGGGATGTGCACCTGTCCAAAGTGCGCATCCCTCAGGGCACTCACCCAGGCTGTATGGTTGGAAACGAGACGACAGCTGGTTTATGCTGTGTTTTCCACCTCTGTAGAATTAGTTATGCTCATTTGAAAGAAACATTTATGGAGAAGGGGCTGAGGGTAGGACAGGACATGCCTTTGTCATGACAGGCAGGAATTTATGGTACAGCTCTGAGGTCAGAGATGCTGAGAACCTCACCAGACCCTTGAACCCAGAGCTGTGGATTGGTGCTTTGTTCACCATTTTGAATTTTGCTCCCTTGAGTTAACAGTGACCTCAGTTTGGATTAAGAGTATATGAAGGTGCCCCTAAGCTTACACAGGAATGGACTACAGGAAGGGGTCAGAATCATCTGCTTTTCTTAGACAACCTTTCCTACTGCCACTATTTGAAACAGAAACAAGAGCAGAGAGACCACTGGTCTGCCCAAGGAAAGCCTCTCATGTTCCCATGTACTACTTCCACTCCTGATCTGTTCCAAGATATTTGTCCCCAGCTTTGTGAGAATACAAATGCAAAAATGGGAACATCTTGTTGAAGTCGTAAGTCTTTCTCAGAAAGCCCAACAGAATTGCCTCTGGGTGTAAACATTGAAAGGAGGTAAAGGAAAGGAAAGAATTAAAGGCAGCTTTGCCACAGCCATAGGAATGTTTCAGAGGACCTGAGGTCTATCAACATTGGTGGTATTGTTTGGGACTGAATGCCAGGCTGGCCAAAGCTACATACCTATATTGTGAAGACCTTGGAGAAGGAGGAAAGATGTCAGCATTGTGATATCCTTGTTAAGGAAGGGTATGGGGACAACACAGACATCCTGGAGAGGGCAATCTATTCTCTTTAAGGCAAGGCAAAAAACACAATCCATAAGGCAAGATCCACTGGGGGAAAAAAAAAGGAAAAAAAAGAAAAAAAGAAATGGTAGGTGCTTTTCTGCATGTTGGGGGTTTTTTTTCCTGATGTTCTTCCTCCTGTCCTATTCAGGTAGAGCAGTAAGAAACTGCAGGCCAGACTGCAGGAATAATTCTCCAACACGCTACAGAAAAAGCTGATCTTGTCACATAGGTTGCTGTTTGGCACAATCAAAATGTTTTCACCATTTCTCAGAATGACACCTTCCCAAACTGCTCCACTGGGTGCTCTTCTGGCCCTGCTTCTTGATAAAGCTATCAGCACTTCAGGGGGGTCAGAGGACCCACACCATGGCCTCTATGGGCCCTCTTGAGAAAATCACCAGGCAGAGACACCTCATCTACATTCAGCAAATTCATTGTGCTGAGTCTGTTTTCTAGTACACTTGATAGCTCACATGATGCCTTCAGATCTCCAGGCTTTGAGTAGCATTTTCTGATGTTTCCTCTGCTCAAATTTGCTGAACTGCCTCAAAACAAGCCTGAATTATTTAATATGTTTAGGAATAACGCTAAAACAGCTGCACGGAGTTTTCTCACTGCTGTTTTTCTGGCTCGTGTCTCCTTGTAAAGCATTTTGTCTTGTTCCTTACCAGTGCCTATAGCTGGTGTACTGTACAGAGTCATCTCCTTCACATCTGCTGAAAGCTCCAACTCCACTGGAAAAAAACCCAGAAGAAATGGACAAGAGAAAAGTGTTTTTTACTTATTGCATGCTGCTTTTGGGTTGGGTTGGGTTTTCTTAGTTCTTACAGGGTGGTACATGGACAGTTAGAAAGAAACTAGCCCCTAGAGAAAGAGAAGCAGAACACCAGGGTATCCTGAAGAAAGTCACAACAGATTCCTCAACTAGCTGTGCAGGTGAGTCGTGAACCATGTTGACAATGAACAATTAGATGTGACTTCCATTCAGTGCAAAGCTTTCTTTCCAAAGTGAGGAACCCCTATATGATACATCTGTGTGCTTCAAAGCATGATTTGGCTTTACGACTTAATTCAATTTTAGACTAATGAAATTAGTCTAAAAATAAAAATATAATAGTTATGAAACCATTTAATAAATAGTTTCATAATGCCAGTGGAATGAGGTAAACAGAAACTTGACGGCGGCAACATTCAGTTAATGAAATTTTTTGAAATTGGGAACATTTCTTTTGAAATTGAATGGTTGTTAGGCATTCTGGGCCTGTTTAGAATGATTGTATTTAGTTATTGAAGTCTGAAATTGAAAAGCAATTTCATAGATGTGTGTTTGTCCTAAACTACTACTTCTGCATTTCTAAGGGCTCTTGATATGCTAGTTTGTGGAACACTCCCTTATTTTAGTGGTTTGACAACCTGCAAAAGATTGATGACTGCTATTAACATAGTGGAGAACATACAAGTCACTTCTGTATCTGACTGTGTTTCAGAACGGAAGACACAGCCAGTGCCAGATCTCTTGTCTCCTGAAATTTTGCCCCTCTTAGGATGGCTATTTTTGTTCTACTGTAATATTTATCCCATTTCTGATTACAGTTCTTTGAATGCTGCAATGCCGAAGCCAAGCATAGTGCATGAGCTGATCTAACATGGACCAGGAACAAAAAGTCAGGATGTAGCACTAGTTAATCATTTTTAAGTGCAAGGTTAAGTGTTATGAGATTAGGGAGGAAAAGATCAGCAAAGCACTTCTAATCAATTTGATTTCAGACAAGCCAAAAGTACTAATTTATAACCAGCTCCTGTGCAATAAAAGATGTTAAAACAACATCAAAACCTGTTCTTTTGTGTGTTTTACCAGCCCTGGGTTCCTCCTACCGGTCCTGCTGGACTTCTCAGCTTCTTCTACTTCACTATTTGTTTTCACTCACTCAGACTCATGCAGTTTCACATAGCTGCACATGATTAACACCACTGCCATTTTTTACTTCTTCGTCATCTCTTTAATTTACTGCTAGACTTTTTGTTCTTTGATCCATTAATTGGATCCTTTCTTTATTCTCAATTTACAGTCCTATTTTTTAGAAACACTGAACCTGGCCACTCTTCATGCCCAGTTCCTTGCCCTCACTTTCGTTATTGTTTATTTCCCTCCTTCTCCTGTTCATGGCACATTGTGCTTTTTACAGATTAAGAAGTTTGTCATACGTCTATTTTTGGACAGTTATCATTAATAAATTAAAACTTTGTCAACCTGTGTGACCTGACAGGATTGTGTGCCTGGAAGCAAGGAGGATGTGGCTTTCCATTTTTATGAGTGCTGCTTTATATGTCAGTGCCAGAGGTTCCTTCATCTCCAGGAAGCAGACAGGTATGTTTAGTGTTGTCTCTTTTAGAGAGACAGAGAGAATTACTTGGGGAACCAAATTCCCTCCTAGCAAAATCAGTGGGATTGCTCCAGGGCAAAATGAGACCTAGTGTCTGTGTGATATTTTGGAAGTGCACATTTCTGCATCCTCTCTTATTATTTCTCCTTTCAGAAAAATACAGGGCATCTAACAACTACCAGACTATCAGTCTGTTGGGGCTAGCTGATGGCTTGTGTGCTGAAAAGTACAAAACTTGGAATGGATCTGAGGAGTTTTATTCTTTTGTTCCCGGGGGGGGGGGGGGGACGGACAGGTGTGCGGGAAAGGCAGAGGGCAGCAGATGGCTGCTTAACTGAGCTATTTTGTCTTTTTTTACTAAGGACAATCAAGTTTCCTAGAGTATTCCCACACCAAAACACAACCTAGCATGAAGAACATTTAGCTGAGATAGCAGGTCAGTCTCCAAATCTATGTAGACTTATTAGCAAGGGTCCACACATTGCATTGACACTTCTGTGTGGCTTTTGCCTCTGAGCTGGCATGGTCTCTCAGCAGCATCTGCCCTGTCTTTGCCAAGTAGATGGGCTTGGTTAAACCATGCTTTGGTTAAATAAGCTCCAGTTGTGTGTTTCACTAGAAAGCAAAATTTTCATAAAAAGGACTGGATTTACAGTGACAAAAAGATGCAAAATGAACACACATTTTATATTATATAGGGTTATAAATACTGAGATTTTATTTGGAAGAAGACAAGAGAAGAATGTGTTTATGTACGTGTCTGAGATACAGATGCATAAATGTTGAGACTTTTGCATTTGAACATGTATCACAGCACCAAAGTAGAGATTCTTTGCGAGAAACATCAGCAGGTTTACTGTTTAATAGCTTTTATTTAAAATTTATCCACAGTCTTCCACAGCATTCACAGTGATTTACAGGATTCCATTTATATGCTTCACATTTTGCTGTAAGCACTGAAAATTGACTGAAAGCCATTCACACCTTTTTATCAGAGTGTTTTGTGTAGAAGTCTTGAAACTCACATACATATCTAATACTTTTGGAAGAGTTGTGTAGAGATGAAAATCTGCCCTGTGTTTCAGCATTAATGAAGGACAGAAAGAGGGAAGAGTTGCTATGGTATTTATATACATAGCAGTTCCTCGAGCAGTATTCAGAGTCAATTCAAACGAGAGCAAAGTGAACTCTTCTGTTGTTTACCACAGACAGAAGAGTCGATGGTGTGATATGCAGCTACTGAGGCATAATAAGAGAGGATGGCTGAGATTTATCCAAAAAAATTGAATCTGACCACAAGAGGTGGTAATACATGAGAAGGAAAGAAAGAAGCTGGATTTCCACCCACCTGGAAAGGAATTTTTGTAATAGTTAAATATGAAGCCCCCCAATTAATTTTGGTATCAGAAAAAGTCCCAAGGAGGCAACAAGAAAAAACAAAAGATGTCACAGAGGAAAAAGTAATGCAAAGCTCAATAAAAAGCTCTTCAATATCTGAAAGTAGCATTCCAGCCATAGAGCTGCAGTGTGAGGGAGAGGTGAGACTTTTCAAGAAAAGGTGCAGATTCTCAAGTACTTTTCTGTTTTAATACCTTGGACAGAGACAAAGTAGCATTACATTCAGTGAAACAAGTGTTACCATTTTGCCATGTCGTATATGCAGTATAATGTTTGAGTTTGTCTAAATAATGTTATAAATTTAAAAATTAAATGCATTGTTTCATTTACATGGTGGATTTACTAATCCAGGGAATGTATATTCTTGCAACAATCATATTGATCTTCAATCTGATAATTGGCTAGACACTAGATTAGCAAAGAGTTTTCCACAGCACATTTTGTATGTGCATGTGTGAGTACCCACATGTACTTGTACCTACCATGCACTTAATTTCTTCAAACTGTAAATTAGTTACTGTTCTTAGAGGTGGTATATCAGATTGTCTGATGAAGGATACAAGAAGATTTCCATTACAGAAATTTATACTCCCTTCTCTTCCAGAGGGAAATCCAAACTGTATTACACAATAGTACAAGAACCCATATAATTTGCACTTGATTTTACAACCGACAGAATCATACCTTTACTAAGCAGGGCACAGCTTGATCCTGAATATATCTGGATTATATTTTGGTATGTGAGACTAACATCAAATTGTGCTTCTTGGGTTTACTGGAAAATACATATGTAACAGGCTAAGAAAGTTTGGTTCGACATGATGCAACACTGTCCATTCCCCAGCTATTCTCTCAGCTATACTACTTAATTTACAGTATAACTGCTAGTGTGGTTGACATAATCTGTGACAGTATTGCAAATGCCTTGTTTTTCTGCGTGTTACAGTGGACAAATTTAATGGATAATTGCATATTAGATTTCATGCCTCTGGTTTATAAAATTCTATGGCTCAAAGTCAGCCAGAAATACACTTAAAATCAAGTTTCTGTGTTTTACCATAAAATGTAGCTATGAACAGTTCTACCATTGTCTCAGATTTTATAAATGTATTCCTGTTGGCAAATTAAATAATTCTGTTTCATCAGAGATGCATTGACAACAATTGGCATACTTTAATCCAAATTTTTAGGAAGGTATTACTGTGAATAAAACCCATCAGGAATATATCTCCCTGATGTTGTCTTCATGATTCTATAATGTCAAAGATGACTTATTACAGAATTCAGGACAAAAGGGATTGTCTGAAGACATTTTAAGCTGATAGCAAATCTAACCAATTTCAAAATGCTTAGAACTGGCCTTCCTAGTCACTGCCAGTATTATCACAGGTTCATTGAAAATCAGAGAAGTCTTTCATGGGGTCATCTAGTAACGTAAACAGAATCAGGAGCTGTCACTGAGTTCAGTGACACCAAATCACGTCTCAGGAAATATAGTCCCTGTTGTTGAAAAATTACTCATTTTACATATATTTTTAGGGGGTTTTTTATTCTACAGAAGCACATCTTTTCGCACTGTTCATTTTTCAACCTCCTAGGCTAGTGGATTTTTTTCAGATGCCAGGTTGCTCCAGTCAAAACTATTTTTTTCTAGCCAGCTGTAATCTCTCACGGTACCACAGAGTCACATCAGAGTTCTGCTTCTCACAGCACTTTTTTACCCTCCCAAGCTGAATCCAGCCTTTGAACATTCCGTTTTGCTCATGTTTATGCCCATGTGAGGAACCCTTCCACTTAACAGATGTTCTAATGAGGAAAAAAGAGTGAAACTAAGACCAGTTTAAAAATTGCAGGTTTGAGTACTCAGTGATTCCTCTTGGTTTTTCTGTGTAATTTCCTCAGAGAACAAAAGCTTTGTTCTTTGTTGGTAAATCTACCTTGAAGTTTAAACATACCATAAAGCAGATTGGCTTCCAAGTGCACAATATTATTCATTTATCTCCCTTTTGCTATTCCATTGACATGTCTACCTGCCTCTGAAGGTTTTAATTGCTAGCTCTCCTGAAGATTTTTTGTTAAGCTTGTACAAGTATTATTGCACTGCTATTCCTTGCTCCGGAGTGCATTTTTATGCCCTAGCTGCTGCTGCTGCTGCTGGACCTTTGTTGCTTGGAATGTCTCTGGCTTTGTAAGATTCCACTGACCTTTTCAGGCATCATTCAGGGGGAGACTCAAGCATTGAGCGTATTCTGTAGTGTGATAGGATACCCTGTACAGGCTTGCACAAGTGCGTGAAGATCCATATTCATACTTAATTTTAAAACTTCTGGTTGTTAATCCTGTATTATGCCGGTAAAGAGTTCCTAGTGGAACAGAACCAAGGATGCAAAAGACCCAGGGTGCAAAAGACATGATGTATGGCAGTGTTACTCTCCTCTTATGATTTTTTTTTTTTGCCCAGCATAGGTGGCACTTTCTGTGCTTATGCGGGATTTATCACTAGCAGGGAATCCATCAGAAAGACTGTGCCGGTCGCTGCTAATTGTGCAGTGGCTTCAGGTTGTCAGTTTTTGATGGATAGTGTCTTTTAGACCTCACCTTCTAGTCTGACTAAAGTCTCACAGTCAAGACCAGTTGGAACAGGTTTTGTGTCCTCTGCATTTAATTTCAGTGCTTCTCTGTAGAAATTTAAGATGACAGGTGATTAACTGCAGGGCTTTGATTCTGTTGTAAAGTTCTTCTTTTATATAGGACTTCCTGTATTAGCAAGAAGATGCTTACTACCACTTACTATTTCTTGTAGCATCAGTAGTTAACACTTCTGCAGTTTTTTCAATTTATGCCTGCTCTTAATCCATCAGATTCAGGAGGTCATCAGTACATGACATCTGCCTTAAGAAAATGTACAGAAAACATTACTCTGTCATTTTTTCATTATGTAAATGCTAAATATGTGTCTTTTGGTGATCCCTCATTAAAGATACATACAAATTTCAGCTACAACAATGATCAGAGGGCTGGAGCACCACTCCCATGAAGAAAGGCTGAGAGAGTTGGGGTTGCTCAGCCTGGAGAAAGGAAGACTCTGGAAAGATGCTATAGCAGTCTTCCTGTACCTGAAGGGGCTGACAAGAAAGATGGAGACAGACATCTTACCAGGGGTACTGATAGGACAAGGGGTAACCTTTTAAACTGAAAGAGGGTAGATTTAGATTGGATATTAGGGAAAAGATCTTTACTGTGAGAGATGGTGAGTACTGGAACAGGTTGCCCACAGAAGTTGTGCCTGCCCCATCCCTGGAAGTGTTTAAGGCCAGGTTGGATGGGGCTTT